ATGAACTTTGGACTATCTTCTGTATAGCTGTGTGTGGAGGCACACGCCTGTGATCCCAGCTCTCAGGAGATTGAGGCAGGAGGATCACTGCGAGTTCAAGGCCAGCATGGGCTACATAGTTCAAGGCCAGCATGAATATATATAGATATATATAGAATATATATAGATATAGAATACATAGAGAGAGAGAAAGAGAGCAAGACCCTGTTAAAAAAAAGTCTTCTATAGATATTCAGAATTACTTTTTAATATAAGTGACTAACCTTGGTAATTCTGTTAGTCTGTTGGCCACTTGCAAAGTAATTATCACTAAGTAGGATAATGGAGCTCAGTTTTTGCAGTTTGAGAAGCATGAGATAACTTAATGCATGGAGGAATCAGCTCCCCTCCTCGACCTGCCCCATCTGTGAAATGAGCATAATACTTGCTCTCCTGTTTTCTGGAGACATAAAGTAAGGTAATCACTCACAGTGCTGTGAGGAATGAAGATTTTGAGCTGTTATCAGGATTTTACCAATCCTCTATTGTTGTCCTAAAAAGTACCTGTTAATTGTGCACCTTTCCTCAGGTACTGTTTCAAGTTAGGTAGCAGATTCCTCCAATGAGATTCCTTTGGATCAGCAGGAAATTAGAAACATGTTCTGTAAAGCTTCATAATTTGCCTTGTTTGAAGAGATCATTACAATCTCTGCAGTCCCTTACTCCAAACAGCCTTTTCATGAGGTACATGTGTGTGTGGTCGTGTAGATGTAGCTGACTTTATTGATGGTTTCTCCCTAACTTCCCCTCCACAGTCTCAGACTCAGATCTGTGATGGGAAAGCATAGCATGAGCTAGCATGGCCATTCATGCACTTATTCTTTATGCTAAATATTTAAAATATAAGAGTGGCCATCCTTGAGTTGGCTGCTAGACAACATCACAGTCAAGATAATGTCACACCCACTTAGTTGTACAGTCAGTGAGGTCAGCTGCTGATGGGCCATCCAAGCTTAATTAGGGTGTCATAGGTGTCTGGCAAATTAGCACATCTGTTTCCTGGCTTGGAGATGTAGATCGTGTGACCTGAGCAGTCGGCATCTGAAGTATGGGTATACTGGATGCCGAGAAGCACAGAGAGAAGGAAATGGTAAATAACGCTTGGTCTCCAGTTCTGCTACAGAGCTGTTTTTAATTTTTAATTAAAATAATCTCATCATTCACTTGAAAAACAAAGGTATTTTCTAATAACAAGACTTCTTAAGCAACAGGATAGTTGCTTTACTCTGGTTTGGTGTGAATTCTTTGCGAAAACTTTGAGTTCTTCTTTTGAAATGTATAGTAAATAATGTTCTATGATTCAGTATGAATTTGAAGCAAATGAAAGAGAAACTTGAATTGTAGTTCTTTTCTGGTGATGAAAATCTTACTGAAGACAGTAATTTTTCTGTTTCACAACCTCTATTATAGGTCACATAAGAAAAGTTGCTTTTAATGGAGTTAAATGAAGTAAAATATTAAAGGGGTTAACTATCCTTATTTTTCATCATTTTAACAATATAAGTGATTTTAAACATGAGTGTAGGACTAAGAGTATTGCTTAGTTGCAACACTTGTCTACCATGCTCAAGCCTTTTTTTAGTTTCCGCCAAAAATGATGTGCTATTTCATATTTAGATTTTATTCATTTTAGTATAATTACATAAACAATTTAGTTTTAGTTCATGATTCTTACTTAAGGGAAAATGGCCTTCCAAGGTGAAGTACAAGGCAGACAGGCGAGGTTGTGGCGGAGGAAGACAGGGACATTGATATCAATACTCAGAGTGCAAAGGAATGGTTTTCTTTGTAAGAAACAGAGCACATTACTCTAACAAAGAGAAAGCTCAGTTCTCTGTAGCTGTGTTTGATTTTCAGAGTGATTGAGTGCTGGGGACTTAATGCTTTCCTTGAGTATTTGGATTTTCACCTATGAGGGCATACGTAGGAGGAGTGGGTGATTTTCCATGGGCAGATTCAGAAGGTGGGCTGGACCATTGCTGTGTCCTGCCCTGTCAGAACCCATGAGAGAGATGATTCTCTGGCTAATGGTGCAGTAAACTTAGAACTTATGAGGAGAGACCAGAGCTTCAGTTGCCGTAGTTCACGATCCCGCTGGCAGTGTGGAGATTTATTTACTCATGTCTCTTTCAGTAAGTGCTCTCTTGGTTTTCTTAGAAATTTAATGTTTTCTTTATGAAACACTGTTATTTCATGCACAGTGGTTTATTCCATGTATACTCTGAAAAATTAAGACATTTAATTAATACTTTCCTTCACATGAAGTTGTCTCATGGTCTTTATTTTGAAGAATGAATATCATAAGGCATTCAAGTGAAATAAATAACAAATTAAGAACTTAGAAACTGTAGGCAGCTTTTTAAGATCTTACAGGAATTACGACGTTTTAGTACAAATTTGGGCAAGTATTTGAATTCTCCAGCAGCTGCTCAGAGAGCTGGCACTTAAACTCAGTATAGGGCAATCAGGCAGGTATGCTGTTCACGTCTCAGAGATCGACTCTGCTGTCTTCTCTTGATATAGGTAATATGTACGATCTGCTTGTGCCATTCATTTTTTTTCCTGAAGCTTATATGTGAGTTCAGATTTAGCAGTTCAACAGGAAAATAAAAATAAATGTGGTTGATAGAGTTGTGCTTTACATACACAGAAGGGCAGTCTGGTTTGTATCGTGGTGGGAAAAGGTTGGATGAACTTCTGTACCTGCCTCAGTGCACCCTGGACATGAACGTTTATATAGCACAGCACAGGTAATCTCCCTGCTCTTAGATGAAACCACTTAGTACAGATATTTCATTCACAAGATACTATTCAGAAAAGTATTGTGTCTGTGTTCAGCTTATTTTTCATCCTTTGTATTTTTTTTTACAAGAAGTGTTGTACTATAGTTTTAACCAGGTTCAAATTAGAACTTAACGAACGATAGCAAATATTGCTATCAAAACATATGGTATCAGCCTGTCTCTTTTTTTATATAATTAAGTTTAACTCCATACACAGACATGATATTATAACTATCTTGCCTATATTGACTAGATTTTAGATTTCAAATAGTATAAATATAAATATAACCTTGGGGAGACCATGGTCAAACTGTTTGAATACAGTGAGAGCTTAAAAGATCTTAAGTCTGTTTTTCTTTTCTCTTCATTCATTTTTTCCCCCTGCAAATATTTATTTACTTCCTACCATATGTCAAAAACTGTGACAGGCTATTGGCATGCAGTAGGGATGGGACAGATCAGCCCATACCCTGGGGAGACTTTGTGGTTTGGTGGGGGACGTGGACATTATGAAATTACACAACTGCACAAATAATGCAATTATACAGGTAATTCATTAGTTAAGTTTGTGGGAGCCACCCCAGTTTGTAATGATATTAACCTCTCACCTGCTCAGGAGAGTTATTAGTCACTCCGGCTCCCCTTCATTAATGAGAAGACATGATTAAGCCTATCTTCGTAAGTGGGGCTTTGCTGTGGGGCAGACATCTGTACCCCATGTCTGGGCTCGGGCTCTCAATTGTGACACTTCCTTATGCAAAGACACTGTGTTAGGTGAGGGCGAGGGACCCTGAGATGAGGAACACACAGTCCTTGCCTGAATGGGCACAGAGAGAGCATATTAACACACACACATGCTCACAGGGCCCTTTTATTTATGTATCTATATAATATACATGATGTTTAAAGCAAAGAATTTGAGAAATTCAGAGGTAGTTGTAAAATGACTTCTACTCTGGGAGATCTGCTAATGTTTCTTAGAAATGACCTTTTAACTGAATTATGAGAAGTAGATAGGACTTTGATAAGGAAATATGGTGGATAAGACACTCCAGGTAAAGGGAATAAAATAAACAAAGATAAGAAAATGCGACAATTCAAGGCACATTGAAGGTTTGACCAAAAAACAAAACAAAACAAAAACCAAGGAATCCAACAAAAATAGTTTCATGGAAATAGAAGGAAGTAAGGTCGGCAGGATAAATTGAAGTGAGACAGATCATTGAGGTGTTTAAATACCTCTTAAGGATACAGCAGACTTTGGTTGAGAGACTGAGTATAGTATATATTCCAATAGTCAACATTTCTGGTTTGCCCCAGGAATACTTACTGGTAGCACTTGCAGCTGCAGTGTTTACCCTGAGATAATTCACAGAACATAATCCTAACCTTATCCCCAAAGTCTACCACAAAACTTCTCACTTTTACTATTATTTTCCCATCACTCTAGTAGATTGATAGTCTCTGGAAACAAAAGAGGTCATTCTGCTTAGAGCATGTTTTGTAGTAGTGGTATTTCCATTTACAAAATATAGTAATTCTGGGCCACTCGAAAATTAAATGAATGTTGGCAGTGAGCTGTACATTTTTTTCTGAATGGGAAGTGGGTTTCCTAAAATCCCTTGGGGACAACATAATTGGCACTGTTGAAGAGAGCGACTAGTGAGGAAGGTCTGTGGCTGTTGCCTAGAGGAGAGATGAGGGTAGCCCGGGTTCTCCGTGTCAGCGGGCAAGTCAGTGTCTGGCTCTGAAGGGCATTTGTAGCAGCGCCCCAGTTTCCCCAGAGTTGACCTGCAGAGCGGAGAAGCCCTTAGGCCTCCGCTTGAAAGTCACAAAGTGATCGCTTTCCAACTGGCCTAAAAGCCGACTTTCCTGATCTATGAAGAAAGATTCCGTAGCCTCTGAGTCCTGTTGATGGAATTGTTTAGAATGAAAAAAACACAAGGATGGGAAAGTGGACAGATTTTGCCTGACATCACCACAGATATTTCCGAACTGATTTTAGCTGATTTATGAATAAATGATTATTCCAGGCTCAAGAGTTAAATATTTAAAAGTGAGCTCCCTTTTAGAGTTCATGTATAATACAGGGCCAATTTTCTGTGCTGCAGACTTCCGTTCTTCATTTCCTTCTTTTTAATACATTATAATTATTATTCGTATCCCATCCTTTTGCAGTTCCTTGCATGGAAAATTATTTAAACGTTGCACACAAATCTTTGTGAAAGAAGAAAAGAAAATTCAGCTTGTGGGTCTCAGCAGGAGTGAAGCTAATGCAGCTTAAAATAATGCTGAAAAAGAAGCGCTTATCTGCAGGCAGAGTGCCCCTGATTCTCTTCCTGTGCCAGATGATTAGTGCACTGGAAGTACCTCTTGATCGTAAGTATTAACGATTTAAGGCTCTTAGGCCCAGGAGTCAAAACCTCCCAGCACAGTGTGGATAGAGAAGGTGTCTGTGTGACACTGAAAAGCTAGTCAAAATTAATTTGGCTTTTCCCATCAGCACCTGGTGTTTATAAAGACTCTCACAGTAGAAATGACCATTGAAATAGCCAGATGCTGTGTCCCCTGTCTTTCATTTTCCTTCCTCCCTCTCAGGTGCCTTTGTGTGCCATGCAGGAATGGCCTGAGAGGGAGGGACTCGTGCAGCTGCCATGATCTTCCCCACAGGCAGCTCTTTGTAGAAGTAGTGCTGCCAGAAAACCACACAGGCCACTTTACAGGGCTCATGGAGACGTCTCCACTTCCCCTTATCATATCGCTTCATCCCTCACGTGTTAAGAATGCCCTCAAGGGACTGGAGGGCTCTCCCTTCAGCCCTCTGCCCCTCCAAATCCCCTGAGCACCCACACTTCATTTCTCATGATTCAGACAAGGCACATTTGTTTTACTTTTTAATTTTGAGCCCGAACTATGAGTCTTTAACTAGGGAAAGTATCTTATCTACAAGCCTGATGAATAGTCTTTGGGGGGGCGGGTTAAAGAACATGATAAAAGACCAAGATACAAAATTTTGAGACTAAGTCAAGTAATCTACAAAAACACTAAAATGAAGCAAACAATAGCTGTTGTATTTAGTCCACTCTTTTCCCATTAGTAAGATATATGCCATATTTTCCTTGTTCTGAAAGGCCTGTCTGTGAAAAATAAAAATAATACCAGGCTCCAACTGGTCAGTTCTCTGAAATGGAAAACACTATTTCAAATCTGGACAATTACTGTACTTCAGAATTGATTTATCCTCTATCCCTAATCTGCATGACCTCTTTAAATCCATTAACTTCTGAAAAGAACATCTGTTTGGCAAGCTTTCCAAGGTGCAAGGAAGATAGCACTTTCCTGGGGCTATTCAGTTGTTGGGATGCCCATTTTTGCCCTAAAAGTAGCAACTGCCCGGTGGGAAGGCATTAAAAAGAGATGTAGTTTGCCCCACACTTTGTTTATTTCCTTTACCATACCTCTTTAAAGTACAATAAAATGCAATATTTTTTATTTTTAAAAATATCCATCCAGTGACCTTAATTTCAATTTAAAAATACATATATAATTGCTTAAACCCATTGGAGTAGAAATGCCTAAGAAAGCATTTGCTCTCACAAATACACAGGAAAGCAGGAAAAATGCTTGAAAGAAGTGCTTTTGTTCTCTCCCATGTTAAATATATTCTCCTTTAATCTGACTGCTCAGTCTAACAATCAGAGGGAAACAGGCACCTACGGCTAACTCAATTATCACTGCTAATGGAGAAGAGGCATAACCATAATGAAAAGAAAGTCACGGGTAACCCAGGCATTCCCACATTAACCTTTGCAAGTAGTAATGACAGGCTGCACTGCAGAATGACTGGAATTGCATACAAATGTAATTTCTTCCCTGTCCGTCTTCCACACACCCTTCTTCAGTACATGAGCTGTGCCTTGGTGTGGGACCCAGCAATTCCTGGATGATTGAAGAATTTGAAAGTAGAAATATGCTAACAGTCCAGAACGTCCAATTATTGACTTAGACAGTAACAGTGGGAATATACCATTCCGAAATCAGTGTTGGACTTGGCTTGGCGGGAATGTTGTCATTGCTGGAGTGCCCCGTTGTTAGGTATTGTTACCGTGTGCATAGTGATGTGGAGGATAATAGGGTCAGACATGACACAGTATGTGACAACTCAAATTAATTGTAGATTTCAGCAATTTTTCAAATTGGACATAATTACTTGTCCAGCACAGTATGTATGGGATGGAATTAGCCATTTTTATTCCTGGAAGATTTTTTTTTTTCTTTTAGCATCGCTTTTGTTTTTCCATATGTGAGAAGCTGCTGGAGGAGCAAACAAAAGCATTAATTCAAGTTTCCTCTCTTGAACTTCATGACTTCACCCTTCACACATATGGGTTTTTAGGTCAAACCAAATAGAAAAGATGCCCCTTTTATCTTGAGGGTTCTAACGTTCTCATTACTAACATCTGATTTTTTTTAATCCTGTTTGCCCACTCACCTGCTGATATTGATGGGGAAAAAGCAAAACTTCTTGAAGACTGTAAGTGTCTTTCTGTAAATTACTAGGCAGTGTGAAAATTTAACTGTGTCTTTGTTTTTTGAATTAATGTCATGAATTAAATGCACGGTGCTATGCCTTGTGATGAATGGCTTTTTTAAGCATGTGTGTGCAGATGTACTATATTACCTACATGAATTGTGAAGATCTGGTTATCACCATTTTCTGAATATGCTGCTGTACTAACTTACAAGTTTTTATTCACATCTGATGTAACTCAATGAGAAAGTTCACAAAATATAGAGACAGTGATTATCTGGCTCTAAATGTTATTAAATGTTTGCTGAAATGAAAATGCATCTTTGGGTATCTTTTAGAAGGCAGGTTCCTAAGTCAGCATCCGGGTGCTGTCTTTTCCTGCTTTAGCCTTCAGATCTGTGTAGACTAGTGTTTCTAGGTGCCAACAGTAGAATAACCCAGCAAATTACAATATTGTCTAGTGCACAGGAGACAAGCAGCTGCCACTCACATCATTTTTGAGCAGCTTGCTGTAAGCAAAAACTTCTGCTGCCTCTTGCAGCTGGGTATCATTTATCATCTAACAGAAAAAAATAGTTTTCCAGCATTTGAAAATTCCCTTTGATTTTGGATTAATGAGGAAAATTATGTAAAATCTCTTATTACTGCTTATTATCGCAAAGCATTTGCTAATTGCCATGTGACCTAAGCACTGTTCAGAAAGGTACCTCCAGATGGTAAACTCCTGGCAGTTAGCAGTAATATAAAAGCCAGCTCAGCTGCAGACAAACGAAGAGAAGCTCTGCATTTGAAAGCACAAATTTGCACCTCTGTCACTCCCAGAAATGCAAAAGGAACTGCACTGAGTCGCTCCTTAGAATCACCTCCCCCTCTGCTTTTGTTCACTGTTTTGGGGGTGTGGAATCTCAGGCTTCCTTTCATTATCCCAAACTCTGTCCTTCCAGGCCTTAAGGATCAGTCACTCAAAGGTGAAGCTGAGTCGAGTGAAAATTATTACGATCATAATTTAAAAATAGCAAACAGCATTGAACCATTATCCTATTGGCATGTACTAAGAATTTTACCCAAATTACTGCATTAGTCCTCCCAGCTATCCTAGGATGTAGATACTTCTTTTAAACCTCATTTTCCCTGGAAGGAAACTGGGGCTTTCAGAAGTTAAGAAACTTCCTTAAAGTCTCATAGCTACTAAAAAATAGACAAATTCTTAACCACCAGACTGGATTGCTAATTATCAGGGGAAATCAGCAGGGCCAGAAGAATGAGGGTTCAGTCAGTGTGTGTGATGGAGGCTGGGAAGAGGAGCTGGGTTAGCTGGAGGTAAGGAGGGGACCGGATATTGCCAAAGGGAGGGAAATTGACGTCGTGTAGTATTCCACATGAGATTGGTGAACAGTTCCTTTGATATTTAGGAAGATGCCTACTGAACAGCAATAAGACAAGGATAAAGCCAATGAACAGAGCTATGTTTGCAGATTTATAAAACTTTGGATAGAGAGGCAGTAAGTTTAGCCCAGCAACTTTTATCCTCAATAAGGACAGACAAGAGCAGGGAGAAGTTACTGAGCTTTGGGAAATGCTTGGTTGGCAGATAGAAGGGGTTTTGCAAAGAAAGCACAGTGTGGGCAGAGAGGACAGAGAAGATCCAGAAGATGAAAAGCATAACTGAGCCAGCATGTCAAATGCAGCAGTGAAAGAAAGGAAAGCACGAGTCTAAATGAGGGTCTTGGAAAGGTTGCATGATGCAGGGAGGCATAGTGGGGCAGGGCTACTGCATTGCATGGTCCAGGCACCGTTCACACTGGCCTGTGCCTGCTTTCTCAGCCTCAGTGCTGCTCACATCTGGGGCCAGTTAAGTCTCTGTTGTGGAGGACTCTTCTGTACACTGTAAGATGGTGAGAAACATCCATAGCTTCTCTCTACTAGATCCCAGGACCACCTCCCACCCTAGTTATGGCAGTCTAAATTGTCTCTACTTATGGCCAAATGTCCCTAGAAAGAGAGGAGCAGATTTCCTCCTGTCGAGAACTACTGGTCTGCATAAACAGCTCTCCGTGGAGTTGTGCAAGGTAGTGGCCTTGCAGCAGGAGCTGGTCAAGAGTTTGGTCCCTTCTCAGCTTTGTGCCTTCTGAGCCAAGCCATTTGCTACTCTGAAAAATGAAAACAGAGGTTAAAACAGATTATTTCTCTAGTCCTTTCCTGTTCTAACATGCTGTAATTCTGGTTTCATAAGAGGGAGGAAATGGTGATCTTAGAGTAACTTGAAGATCTAGGTATTGACTTTCTACAGGTTCAATCGGTCTAGATCAAAACACTGTCCTCTACAATTTCATAATAAAGAGTCAGATAATCCTTTGAAGAGTGAAGTGGAAAAACTGTCTCCTAGAACAGAGAACTTTGATTACATTTATTTTCCGAATAAGACCACTTTTCCTTCTTCCCAACACACCTAAATCCTAATCTTGATGAGTGACATATGAATGGCATGTCTCCAGTATAACAATCTTTATAATATTAGCTTCTCAAATGCATGTTCTCAATACATATTAATTTATAGTGGCACACTAACAAGCTATAAGTTAGCAACTTTTTTCTAAAAAAAGAACCAAATATACCTCATAACTTCAATTTCATTGAAAGTCATTGTTTGAACCAAAGGAATCAGAAGAATTTCTCATTGTTACATCAGAAAAAAAATTATTTTAATGTTAGGCTTGTGTTGATCATTATTTTCTCAGACAAGGCTTTTTATTTATTTGGGGGGTGGGGGTGGTACCGGGGATCGAACTCGGGTCCTTGCGCTTGCACAGCAGGTGACAAAACCACTGAGCTAAATCCCCAGCCCAGACAAGGCTTTTTGATTGCACATAGAGTTACCAAAAGAGCAGTTATGCCTTGACTTCGGGGTTTTAGGAGACTTTTAGTTGAAAATCTACTGAGGTAGGTGCTGCCACACAGAAATTGTAGAAATATTTGGAACATATTTAAGGCAAGTGATCTTGATATAGGAAATTGGTTGCTATTATGATGTTAAATGATTTATTTCTTTACATTATTATTTCTTCTATAATTAAGTGGTACAACCTCCAACCATCACTCAACAGTCTCCAAAAGATTACATCATTGACCCTCGGGAGAACATTGTAATCCAGTGTGAGGCCAAAGGGAAACCTCCTCCCAGGTGAGTGTGTTTTCTGCTCTCATATGGCACTTGAAGTAAGTCTGAGGATTTCTTGGAATATAGGAATAGGTTTAGAAATTCTGTAGAACAACGTAGGCAATATAGAGTATGGTCATTTTTAGTTGGATGTTTTTCAGCATGATTGCTGGTTTACTCTTTGGTTATCTAACCAACTCACGGACCCATTTCAGCTCTTCAAAGATACTAAAGGTAATTTCTTAAGTCCCACATATCCCTAAAGTATCAGTTGTAGGTTTATTGTTTTGTTTCTCAGCTTAGAGTCAATTCGTTCTACTTAAAATCCAGATTACTGCTTTCCCATATTTATATTTTTATGTTCATATCTTGGGGAAATAAGTGCAAAGCTCTATCTTGGTTCAGATACTAATGGCCTTCTAAAGTGAGCAAATCCCTTTCCTCTGGGCTTTAGTTTCCTCATCTATTAGAATGAAAAAGGAGAAGTTGGATTTGATGACTTTCAAGATCTCTCCTACCTCCACAGTGGCCTATAAATGGTCCTAAATGGTTTTCCAAACTTGTCACAGTTCAGTACTCAGGATTCTCCATAAGGATCTTGGCACGAACACTGCATAATTCTCTCCAACCCATACATTGTATAGATGAGAAATCGATGCTCCATAATGCTCCATAGTTCATCCAGGGCCCACAGTGCAAGATCTTGAGCTTGTCCACATGAGTTTTAGAGAGTTGAAATATTTTTAAAATATTAATTATTATAACAAATAAGATTTAATAACAAATTATATAATTAAATATAGTAATTTATTAGAAATAAATGGAAGTTTTTTAGATACTTTATTTCTAAGTTTTTCTATTATAGGTTTTATTAAAGTATCACAAAATAGCACCTGAGAAAAAAATTAACTGGTACTAAATACCTATATATATCAAAATTTCCATCAAATGTTTGCTTCAAAACAATATTCTGCCATATTATTGGAAAGCCTGTGTCATACAGCCCCTAATGTGACATCCTTGGATGGAGCCCCCCTCAGCTTTGCACCTATGAGTGGTCAGGGCCTCCTATAACTCTGTAAGCTGGGATTTCTCCTCCTCAGCACTGTTCATATTTGGAGTTGGATAATATTTTTGTTGTGAGAATGGAGGCTTCCTGAGCATGGCAGGATGGTTACTTTTTTATGTTAATGTAATACAAGTAGATATTAATAAAATATAAAAACTTCTATGGAAAAATAATTTTTCATAACAAAAATGATTAGAGAATAACTAGTAAATACACTGTATCATGATCTTAAAAGAATATATTTTCAATTGCTTATCTATCTCTCAACTCATTTCCTAATAATACTACGCTTTTTGACATAAAACATTTTAATTATTAACAGATTACCTTACACTCAGTATAATTTTGAACAGTTTCTTCTTATTTTACTTTATCTATTATATATTTTGGTCCTTATACTTTCAGTTTCTCATATCAGAGAGACAATGCATGTTTGATTTATTTCACTTAAGAGTATGGCCTCTAGGCACATCCATTTACCTAGAAATATCTCCAAGTTTATCCTTCTTTATGGCTGAGTAATACTCCATTATATTAAAAAAATCTTTTTTATTCATTTATCAGTTGATGGGCATTTGGATTGTTTCCAAGATTTAGCCATTACAAACTGTGCAGCTATAAACATGGGTGAGCATATATCACTATGGTATGATGCTTTAAATTATTTTAGAAAGATATACGAAAGGGGGATAGCTGGGTCAAATGGGACCTCTAATCCTACATTTTTTAGGAATCTAGATACTGATGTCCACAGTGGTTGCACCAGTCTACACTCCCACTAACAGTGGAGCAGGGTTCCTTTCTCCCCACAGCCCCGCCAGCATTTGTTATTGTTTGATTTCTTGATAATAGCCATTCTTTCTGGAATGAGGTGGAATCTCAGCATTGTTTTAATTATGGCAGCATGGTTAGCAGCATCTCTGGCCTCTACCCATGAAACCACTAGATGCTATTAGCATCCACTACCACCACCTCCTGCCTGGTTGTGATAACCATCACTATGAGGATGGGAAGGAAAATCCAAGTGAGCTCTGAAAACACTGTGAACTTTGGAGATTTATGGTTTATACAATTTTGACCATCACTGATTTGTGACTAGTTATGAAGTATTTAATTACATGTGCACTGTGACTTTTATATAAGACCATCTTTTGTGTAAATAAAACTGAGACAGAACAATCTCAGTTGACAATTTGGCATACCTTCTTCAAATTCACAAAATCACCTCTAGAATTAAAAGTTCTCAAAAATAGCTTATATGGAATTACCATGTTTAATAACTAAGATTTAAAACAGATTTATTTCTTTTAAATCTCTGAACTTATGTCTGTTATCCTCCTCCTACCTCCACTTTCCATTTTGGTAACTTGAAACGGTTGTGATCAATTTTCAACACAGGAAGAGAGTACTTGTAGAGGCCTTTCTTGTCACATTTTAGCCCACAGCAAATTTTTATAGACATGCTATCAACTCTGAACAATGGAGTTTATAATAAAAATGCTAATACAGCTCAAAGGGAATGTTCCTGGGAGACCTGTATCCTATATTTTCTTTGAAAAATGACAAGCAATTTGTGTTATATTTGTGCTGGTTTTAAAAAAGACACATACCTCAAAATGTATAACCAGCACTTTTTTCTAAGTCATGATTCAGTGCAACATTTTAGGTATAGGAACCTATTGCTCTTTTACTGGATATTAAAAATTGAATAATTATTTCTAGAAAACCATAAAACTGTTAGGAACTTGTTGAAGAATAATCATCCTACCTTTCTCAACCATTAACAAACTTCGTGATTTGGACAGCTTCTCCTGGACACGCAATGGGACTCATTTTGACATAGATAAAGACCCTTTGGTCACCATGAAGCCAGGCTCAGGAACACTCATAGTCAACATTATGAGTGAAGGGAAAGCAGAGACCTATGAAGGGATCTATCAGTGTACAGCAAGGAACGAACGTGGAGCTGCAATTTCTAATAACATTGTCATCCGCCCATCCAGTAAGTGAGATTTGTCAAGAAAATGTGACCCCATTAAAGGATTGCTCTAAGACTCAGTATCTGTTTCAATTCCAAATGCTATTGCTTCCAGTATTCCAACTTTGTTTTCAATGAACTTTATTGCTTCTTTCTACTTTCCCCTAAAGTCTTCAACCTAATCCTTTGCCAATCCAGTGTGTCTTTTATCCAAGTCCTGAATAAAAAGGCCAGGTTCTGAAAACCTGTTTCTTACTTGATTTTATCTAATTATTTATTCCTCACATATTTTATGTATAAACAAAATTCTTACAGCCATTATATGGGTCATAAAAGTTGTCTTAGTTACTTTTTTGCTGCTGGGACAAAATACCTGACACCCACATGTTCACACATTAAGGGAGGAAAGGTGTATTTAGCTCACAGTTTGTAGAAGTTTCAGTCCATAGTCAGCTGGCTCCATGCCAGTGTGGCATGGCCGAGGAGAAATAGTCCATGATATGGCAGGAAGAAGGCAACAAAGCAGCAAGCAGCAGCAGCAAACCTACCATCTTTCTGTCCCTTTATTTACCATCCAGGCTATAATCCTATTGATTGGTGGCCCCCATACTCAGATTGCAGCTTCCATTATCCACACCTTTAATCCCAATATCACACCTTTAATCCACATTCACACACCCTAATCCAACCACCTTTGACACTTCCACCTATGACTTCATGAGGCTTTGGGGGAACATCAAGATACAAGCCATAAAAGAGGTCTACATGTGATTTCAATATTTTTGTTTCAAAATTTCACTGCAATAGTGTGTCCCCATTATCATGGTATTACTGTGGCTCATTTTGCCATTGCCAGTACTAAAATCCTCTCAATAATCTCAGGAGCATGTATGTAAAAAGCAATAACCATATGCAGTTCTGGTGATTTTGAAAGCTTTAAAAATTAAATATATAATATATGTTTATTATAGAAAAATTAATTGCAAATAAAATAGAAGTTTAAAATTACTTATGAATACTTCCATTCAAGAAAATAATTACTGCTCAAATATTCTTCTCTAGTTTTTTCTCGGCAGATTTATATCTATGTGCATAAAACCAGCTCAATACCAGCTGAAATACTATTTTACAACCTTTTCTGACTTACTGAAGTATCATGTATATTCTCTTATTGATCTTATCAATATGTATGTTTCTACCATATGATATTCAAAGGTGTAGATGAGCAGTTACTTATTTAACAAACCTTATGATAATATGTAAGCATTTTTCATTCTTTGTAGAGAACATACTTGGACTGAAATCATGTGTCTTCTTGATGATGTATTTAATACAAATTCTTAGACATGGAATCCACTTACTCAGAATTTATACTATCAGTGGCAAAGAATAAAAATCATCTTCTTTTACTACCTTTTGGTTTTTTAAATATTTCAAAGTCATTTTGCATTATTTCATGTATATAAATTCCAAATTACTACTCCCTCCCAAAATTGGTTTGCCTCTCTTTGTACTGCTTTCTCTTTTTATTTTTCCATGCAGAAATAACTCAAATTATTATTTTTAATAGGGTCACCACTGTGGACCAAAGAAAAACTTGAACCAATAACACTTCAAAATGGTCAGCCATTAGTACTTCCCTGTAGACCTCCAATTGGATTACCACCAGCTATAATATTTTGGATGGATAATTGTAAGTTTAACAATAAGAACTTTCTTCAAGAATCTTTGTAATTATTTGCAGTCACAAAAATTAAATTATTTCCTCTTGTGATTCATAAAGTGTTTATAAAATGTGTTAGAGATCTCAAGAAAATAACTGCTTTTAAATGACATGATTTTATTTGTTCACTCAGATTTATTGAGCACTTACTAAATGTGGTTCTGCTCTAAATAAACCACATATCCTTCTGTCATTGATCTTGGATTCTATGCAGCAGAAGTGGATGCAGTTGGGAAGGAGGCAGACAATGAATGCCTTTAGAACATTAATGTTAGTCAACAATAAATGTTATGAAGGAAAAAAATCAGATGTTCGAGTTTAGACCAGAAAGAATGAGGGGGCAAACCAGGCCCCTAAATATCTGAGTGGTCTGTGGGGAGCACCAGTGTAAGCCCCAGTGGAGGGGCATCACTGGTGTGTACCAAAAACAAAATAGTGGGGCCGGGGATGTAGCTCAGTGGTGCCACTGCCTGCCCCACAAGCGTGGGGTCCCAAGTTCAATCCCCAGTACAAAAAAAAACAGTGGCCAGCTTGAGAGAACCGAGGAGGAGGGTGATGGTGATGGGTAAGGTCAGGGAGGTCACGGGGACTCGAAAGAAAGGGCCTTAGCTTTTGCTCTGAATAAACTAGGAAAGCCTTAAAAGCGTAAGTTCTCTGAAATAAAGTCAATAGTAATAGTTTTCCTTCAACTCATGGGTGGACCTGCAGGGACAGAAAGAGATGGGAGACCAGGTAGGGGACTCTGCTGTAATCTAGGCAAGAGCTGCTGGTGACTTAGGCTTGGCTGCTAGAGGCCGAGTGGGTCAAGTTCTGGATGTGCTTTGAAGGTAGAACCTCGAGGATTTATGGGGCAGGGATAGGAGCGTGAGGGAGATACAGTGATACAAGGAATTACCATTTGCTGAAACAGCAGAAACCCTTTTGGGAGGGGAAATCAAGCTGTTTTGGATGTGTTACTTTTTTTGTGTTTGTTTATTCCCCAAAATAGCTATATTTTGGGGGGTACCAGTCCTTTGTTATGTACCAGTCCTCCTGCTAAGAACATCACATGTCCTGGCCCATTAATTTTTTACAACAACCCTATGAGGCATGTCCAATTATTTTTTTCTACTTTCCAGATGAAGAAACTGAGAGGCAAAAAAAAATGAAGCCATCTCTTAGGCAGTTTCAGATGTGTCTACCCTGGTCCCTAGCCCTGAGGGAATTGGATATTGTTCTACCTCTCTTCTACCTTCCGCAGTGTCTTATGCTAATAAGTTAGCATGTTACCTTAGAAAGTGCTCATGGTTTTGCTTGAAAACTAAGAAACCAGAGTTTGAGGGGGGAGAGGTCTATATGACACTTCTATTGAAATGCCCAGCAAGAATGACGTGAGCTATCATCAGCCGTGTGTGTGTTGTTAGTGTGTAGAAGGTGAACCTCAGCACTGGGCTGAACAAGAGAATTTAGGGAAAGGGTGCAGGTGATAGAGAGCTGAGCCTGGGGACTGAGACCAAGAGCCTTCCCCGAGGCCAGGAACTTAGGGAGAACCCAGCGAAGCCGATGAGAAGAAGAGTCACTGAGGTCAGAAGAGAACCGAGAGAGAAGGTGGAGGAAGTACACCAAGAAGACAGTGATGACGGTTTCAAAGCTGCTGCTAGGTCTGTAATGTGAGGACTGAGAAGTGATTGTTGAACTTATCAACATGAAGGTCCCTGGTGGACTTGACAAGGTAGAGTGATGAGAATGAATTCAAAATATTTGTAGAAAACTTCATTTCCTTCTCAGTTAGTGACCTAATTTCCAGTGCAATTCCAGGCTGTAAACACACTAACAGGAAAATTGGGCTCTAGTGCTCAGTTTTCATTTTTGACTCTTCTTACATGAAATCACTAGGGAAAGTATCACAAAGAAATGAAAAACAAATGTATAAACTAATGAATGTATAAATACATCTTTCCTTTCATTGCCTAACAGGTTTAATAAATGTAAATGAGTGATTTATGGCTGTGAGACTAACACTCTCCAAATGTCACTGCCAAAATGAGGCCCAGTATTTGGTCATTGATTCTTATTCAGAAATTATTTCTTTTCTGTTCCTGAAGAGACAGATCACATGTAAAGTCTCGGAATCATCTGAATACTTGACTAATTTTTCCCTACATTGCCCATCTGGCTGTATCATTTACATACATTTTAGGCTGTTGGCAGAGCTTCTGACCTTTCAAATAGAATTGCATCTGGAATGTGAGAAAATTTTAGATCCATGAAGCATTCTTGCAAGATGACATGATAAAATTATTCATATCTGCATTCATTTTTTCCAAGTGTAATACAAAAAAACCCCTTAAAGTATAAAATGACATCATCTTAATCAAATTCCACCGCCTTACATTTGATCTACCAACACTCATGAATAATAATGTACAGGAGGAGAAACAAAAGACAATAATATACATGTGTCTTTAGTTCCTTTTATTCATTAAATAATATACATGAATATTTTTAAAACAGTCCTTTCCTGGGGGATTAATGGTTTGAAACTATTAATTTCCATCTACCAGCCAAAGCCCCATCTTGACCAAGAACTTGGTTAAGGTGTTTGCCAAATAATGATCTTTCAGACTCTGGCTCCTCATTTTTTCTGCCTTTTCCTGCCTGAGGGAGCTGGAAGCTTTTAGCTATTTTGCATTTTATGAAGTGTTAGATCAGGCACCTGCCACAGGGAGAGCATGGTTGCTTGACTCAAACTGAAAAAATCCTGCCTGAAGATAGAACTCCTGGCCCAAGGCTGCTGTGATCTGCAATCTTTCCTGTCACTTCAGAGACTCTCACAGTTCCGACTCTGTGAACTGAGCCAGGAGCTTCAGAATGCATTTTAGTTGACAGAGTGTGGTTTTGTGCACAGATCAGTGGGTCCCACATCCCTACATCCATCCGAGTGGGAAATCATCTCTCCATGCCTAAGGCTAGAAAGGTCCTTAACTGGACCTAGAGGAAGTAAATTGTCATGCCTGAAACTGGAAAGTTACCTGATGGTTATACATTTAGTCCTTCCCCCACTCTGTGAAGAAGCCCTGAGGAAGCGCCGGCTACTGGTCCATAGCTGCAGCAGGAGACGAAGTAGATAAGCTCACACCATCCTGGAGCTTAAATTCTCTTGCTAGGAGACAGGCAGTAGGTCATACCTATGATAAGTGGAAGACATAGTATGTCAGAAGATAATAAATACTTCAGAAAAAGTAGAAGATGGAGCCTGAGGGGCTTCTGAGGCCTGGCAGCGTTAAATAGTGTTGTCATTGCACCCTATTGTTAATTGTCCATTTGCTGAAAGATTTTCCTATTAGATCAGGGCTCAAACAGGGCTAGGGCTCTGGTATGCCCAGTTCTTTGTTCAAGACCTACCTTGTGTGTAGGTACAGGCCATGTTAGCATCCTTACAAGCTTCTTTAATGTGTTTTCTAAGTAATGTCAGTTAGGGACTCATTTAGATCTTAGGGAAAGTCACACAAAGTGTTTGTAATTTTTTGTTGTTGTTTAGACTTGCTTAATAAAACACCTCACTGTACAACTTTAATTTTGCCTCTACCTAACCCAGAGAATTTAGGGTTAGGAAGATACATTTGAAATTTTAGTGTACCTGGCATTTTTTGAATAATTATTTGCTTTTACTCAAAGAGCTTCATAGAAAAAAATATGTTCAGATGAACTCCGCAGATCTACTAGTGGCATTGGAAGAGTGGAATTTTTGTGATGGAATGACTTGGAAATCTCTCTGCCCTCCTCCAGCCTTTCAAAGACTTCCACAAAGTGAGAGGGTTTCCCAAGGTCTGAATGGAGACCTTTATTTTTCCAATGTCCTCCCAGAAGATACCCGTGAAGACTATATCTGTTATGCCAGATTTAATCACACTCAAACCATACAGCAGAAGCAACCTATTTCTCTGAAGGTGATTTCAGGTAAGAATTCAGCTTCCTGAATCTCTGTTTGAAAAATGTTTACGGTATGTTTACATATGTGCAAAAATGTTGACTATTAAAATACTACTGACTTTGAGGTAAACAGGTTCCTTCATCAGGAAACTACCCATGAGCAATCACTAAAATGTTGGCATACATGTTAGAAAGAGGATGCAGAACCCTAAATGCTGTATTTTCTAGTTTTTGCTGTGATTGACATTACTGTTTCCATGACAACCCTCAGAATCAGTTGATGTTCTGAGCATTGGTGGGTCTTTTAAGCCCCACAATGCCTTTCACTTGGCAATCCTGCAATTGAAGTTACAGGTTCCCATATTAATGGTTGGGGGTGGCTGATGAATGAATAAATGAATCACATGCAATGTAAAGCAATGCTTTTACTTGGGAAGGATGGCACTTAGCATAGCTGTATACATTTGTTTTTGTTCCTCAATGGTTTTTGACCCTTCTCCCCTGTTTTTGTGCCCTCTTCATAATATTCTGTTTATTTCAGTGGATGAATTGAATGACACTATAGCTGCTAATTTGAGTGACACTGAGTTTTATGGTGGTGAGTTATGGTGATTGTAACTGATATTCTTTCCTTCATTGTAGACTTTAGTTCACTAACTCCACCTCCATGGCTATTTAACCTTTTGTTTCTTTATGAAATTCCTAGTTATATGTTTAATACCATAGTATAAATGTATGTTTCTTATGAAATTTAGCTATAAACTTTCAAGCATGTCACTAAAACATTTTCCATGTATGTATGATAATGAAACTTGTTTTAACTGTTTTCATGTTAAAAACCATCTCACATAACTTGGAAAAATCCTTCGTATATGTTCAGAATTATACTTTCCATTTTTTGTCCTGTTCATAAATTGATCTCATGAACTAAATAAGAGTTGACTAGGATGCAGTAACCTTCTAGAATACTGACCCATCAGAGCTTTTAGCAACTAACATTAAATGGTTTCCGTAGTAACTGTCACACTTTCCATCCATTTTTATGATGTGATTCAGTATAATTAGCAATATTATTTGTCTCAATTTTGTTTAAAACCAAGTCACTATCTTCAGTGGAAGTATACTTTTAAAATATAGAGGATTTAACTTCATTCTTTTATTTTTTTTCTCTTTTAAGAAACTTCATTCTTTTAAACTGAAAAACTTTTGTTTCCTGAGGAGAAATGTGGCTCTCAAGTATAAAATCTGTCAGTGAAAATATGGGTTCTGGATGTGAGGTCCTCTTAAATATCCATAAGGCAGAATTTCTGCTGTATTAAATTTTCATCCTCGAAATATGAATTTTACAGTACCATCAGTAACATGACACAGTTCCTGCCTTTACCTTATCTATTAATATACTCCTCAAAAATATGGGCCTCAGACCATTCCCAAAATGATTTTAGAGAAGGCTCCCCTACAATCTAATTCTTAAGAAAACTACTTTCTCTCAGATAATACCTTATCTGGTACAGTGTTCACTGTTTTCTTCTGAGGAATAAGAATAATTCATATATTACAAAAATGTTCCTTCAGTTGTTTGTGAGAGTCGGTTAGATAATTTATTCAAATTTGAAACTGTGAAGGGCTATAGAACCTAAAGATGTTGTAACTTCCTCTTCAGTTTATTCTGAGAGGCCTGAAGAAGATAAGGCTACATTGTGGAAAAGTCCATGGAAAAGCAGGTGGCCTGTATAAATATCCCTAAGATCACTGACCTGGTTCATCTTTATTTTGTTATTGAGGAAACTGATCTCAACTTATTTAACTCTACCATTATTCTTAATTATATTTATTTACTTATTTATTTAGTGGTGCTGGGAATTGAACCCAGCACTCTACCACTCTGCCACTGAGCTACATTCCTAGCCATCGTTATTCTTAATTGATGGCATACATTTTCCCAGGCCTCTGTCAGTAACTCTCTAGTTTTATTTTATTTTATTTTGCATAACCCTTGCAGTTTATAAGTCTTGCTATATTAATTACTGAAACTGGTTATGATGTTACCCCCAGTGTAAAGCAAAATACCTCTTTCACAATATACCTTTCTGAAAAACCTGACATCTTCCTAATGATATGCAGCAAATTTTTGCTTTGACCTGACCAGAGCATTAACATTAAAGAATGTGTAATTTAATGAAATGCACAGAAAATTTATAAAACCCACAGAACATTTGTAAAAACCTTACATCAATCTTTAAAAAATGAAGAAAAGGAAAAGAGTCCTTCCTATTAGTTTGTGCAATCCAAGTCATTTCTATTGCTGGTTCACTGAGTGAGTGGTAGCCATTTATAAGGCAGAGAATGGTTGTGTGTAGTCTGACATAATCAATGTTAAATGGATTTGAACAGGAATTAGAATTTTAGACAGCTTTTTTGACAGTGACTGTGTCTATAAATGCATATTCATGATTTTAATGCATATTGATTTCTTCTTTGCAGCTAAATCAAGTAGAGAGAGGCCACCAACATTTTTAACTCCAGAAGGCAATGCAAGTCACAAAGAGGAATTAAGAGGAAATGTGCTTTCATTAGAGTGCATTGCAGAAGGCCTGTGAGTTAACACTTTCTGTCCTGATGTACATCTCATATAAAAAAATATATGAGATTGATAAAGAGGCATTCATGTCATCAGAATTCATTGTCTTACACTAATTCCATCAAGCATGAAGAAAAATTTAGTAATTATTTCCAAAGTAGACTGTGTGAATCTTGCATTATTGTTAAATTATTTTATTAATGTAACGGTGTTCATACTGATATAGGTAATACATGATTGCTGTGTTATAAAAATGGAGTATAATTTTCTCCTTTGGTAACAATCACCTCAAAACTAAGTGGCTTAAAAATGATAGTTATTTATCACTTATCATTTATATAGCAATATGCAGGGTGCTTGTACTCTTAACTGGTAAGGTTAAGCATGCACATGCATCCCCTGGGCTATGTGTTTCTGGCTCCCAGGGTCTGTTGGCTCCAACCTGGGACATCTGAACTGATGTCCATGAGTTTCTAGTAGTTTTACCTGGCTTGTTCTTCTAACAACAGATGCACACAAGGCATCTCAGGCTCTACTCTCAGAATTCCCACACTGTGTCCCTTCCGTTACTTCCTGCTAGCAGACCATGAGGCTAACCCTGGTTCTTTAAACTGTCTCATCTGTGCACACCTCGGAGGTGACAGGCATTGCAAAGAGACTTCCCTGACATAAAGAGCAACTGTTAGGCTAGGGCCACTTTGAGGGTGAGTTCCTAGAGTTCCATCTAGTGCCTGACATTGGCATGAACACATTTGCCAGCAGTCTTGGATGGGATTCCAGAATGCTACCTCAACATATGGAAATCCATGCTGTCCCTGACCTGGTCATTCAGTGATCCCACATTGTTTGCTCAATCCAGGAGTAACTGTTTTTCAGCAGGCACGTGGAGGCCTCTGCTGGCCCAGTCAGGAAATCACAGGATGTACCCTAATTCATTAGACAAAACTAGCAACGCCTCTTTTTAAAATGTCAGGTCAAAATCCAGCTTTTCCATCAGAATTAAAGATTAAAATTTTTTTATTTTTACCATTTTGTTAGAAAATGGTTGAATGGCCAAACTCCAACCTGTTGGGAACAGAAGTACCCATTCTCACAATTTATTATTTTTTATTGATTTTATTGGTACATTTTAGGTATACAATGCAGTTACATTCATCATTGGAAATTTGCACCTTTACATAATCTTTTTTGGTTTTTATTTTTTCCCCATTCCCCTACCCTCCCTTCAACCCCTCCATCCCTCCCTATTTACAAAGACTTTGTTTCCATTTTTCATTTTCTCATATTGATTTCATTCCCTTCTTTCCTTTCCCCTACCCCTCCCACTTCCCCTTCCCCTTTGCCCCTTTTTTTCCTATTTCACAATATCTATTATACCTTTTAGTCCTTGTTTACACTTTCAGCTTCTCACACTAGAGAAACTATTTGGTATTTACACCTGTGTGTCCTATTTATTTCACTTAAGAGTATGGCCTCAATATGCATCCATTTAACTATAAATGTCTCTAGTTTCTCATTTTTGATGGCTGAGTAGTACTCCATTTTATTTTTTAAAAACACACATTTTCTTGATCCAGTCTCCAGCTGATGGGCACTTGGGCTGTTTCCAAGTTTCAGCTATTACAAACTGTGCCACTATAAACATGGGTGCACATACATCGCTGTGGTATGATTCTTTTAATTCTATTGGGAAGATACCCAGCAGGGGAATAGCTGGGTCAAATGGGACCTCTAGCCCTATTTCTTTGAGGTATCTCCATACTGATTTCCACAGTGGTTGCACCAGTCTGCACTCCCACCAACAATAGAGAAGGGTTCCTTTCTCTCCACACCCCCGCCAGTACTTGTTATTGGTTGATTTCTTGATAGCAGCCATTCTTTCTGAGGTGAGGTGGAATCTCAGTGTTGTTTTCATCTGCATCTCTCGAATGATCAGTGATGTTGAACATTTTTTCATATGTTTATTTGCTGCTTTTACTTCTTTGAGAAATGTCTGTTCATTTCAGATGCCCATTTTTGAATTGGGTCTTTAAATGTGAGGGGTCTGATTTTTTTCAGTTCTTTATATATTCTAGATAGTAGTCCTTTGAGGAACAGCTGGTAAAAAATTTTTCCCACATTGTAGGTTGTCTCTTAGCTCTGTTGGTGGTTTCTCTTGCAGTGCAGAAGCTTTTTAATAAGGTGAGATCTCAGTTGTTGATTCTTTTTGCTAGTTCCTGTGCTACTGAGGTTTTGTTCATAAAGTCTTTTCCTGTGCCAATATCTTCAAGAGTTCTACCTAACTTATCTTCCAGCAAGTTTAGTGTTTCTGTTTTAATATTTAGATCTTTAATCCACTTCGATCTTAGTTTAGTGCATGGTGATAGGTATAGGTCTAGTTTTAATCTTTGGCAGGTTGAAATCCAGTTTTTCCAACACCATTTATTAAAGAGGCTATCTTTCCTCCAGTGAGGGTGTTTGGCTCCTTTGTCAAAGATGAGGGGGCTGAGCATGTCTGGAGTTGTTTCTGCATCTTCTAATCTTTTCCACTGATCCTCAGGTCTGTTTCTTTTCCAGTACCGAGCTGTTTATTTTTCCCCCCATTAATTTTATTGGTACATTTTAGGTATAAAATACAGTTACATTCATCATTGGGATCTTGTACCATTACATGAGTATCTTGGTTCTTATTTTTTCCCCTTCCCCTGCCCTCCCCTCACCCCCTCTACCCCTCCCCACTTGCAAAGATCCCATTTCCATTTTTTCCCCTTTCTCATATTTTCCCCTTTTCCCCTCCCCTTCCCACCTCCCCCACCTGCCTAGACCTTTACTTCCTGTTTCACAATATCAATTACACATTTTTAAAATTAAAATATCAAGACCTAGGTGACATTATCACAGATTTTACAGAATTTAAAAGGATATAGAAAGCATATTTCAAAAATCTGTTTTGAAATAAATTTGACAACTTCTAAGAAGTACCTTGAAAGACAAATTAATGAAACTAACTCTGGAGGAAATATAAAATTTGAATAGCACCTATTCAAGAAAGTATATTCCTAGCTTGAAAACCTACCTATATGACAACAACAGCCTCGTATACATTTTAACTGATAAATTATATCAAACATTTAAAGCAGAAAAAAAAAGGAACACTTCTCCCCTCGTTTTAGGAAATCAACATTGTGCTAATCCTAAAACTGGATTAAGATAATAGAGGGAAAACGTATGAACATGGATAGAAATTTGTTTAACAAAACAAACTAGCTTTTGGCTCAGTCTCTAGCTGTAGCTGGCTGCCAGGCATATGCACTCCTGCGTCTTCAGTTCCTGCGGCCACCATCTATGGCACTTAGGTTTCTCAAGGCTCATCTTGCACCACTCACCCACCACACACTCTGCTACTATAAACCGCCATTATGGTGAAGCTTGCAAAGGCTGGTAAAAACCAAGGTGACCCCAAGAAAATGGCCCCTCCCCTGAAGGAGGTAGAAGAAGATAGCGATGATGAGGAAATGTCAGACGAGGAAGAAGATGACAGCAGTGGAGAGGAGGTTGTCATCCCTCAGAAGAAAAGCAAGAAGGCTGCCATGACTCCAGCAAAAAAAGTAGTGGTGTCCCCAAACAAAAAGGTTGCGATTGCCACACCTGCCAAGAAAGCAGCTGTCACCCCAGGTAAAAAGGAGGCAGTAGCCACGCCAGCCAAGAGGACAGTGACACCGGCCAAGGCAGTTGCAGCACCTGGCAAGAAGGGAGCTGCACTGGGCAAAGCTATGGTGGCAGCCCCAGGTAAGAAGGGCACCGTTGCCCAAGCCACGGGGGGAAAGAATGGCAAAAATGCCAAGAAGGAAGACAGTGATGAGGAGGAAGAGGATGATGACAGCGAGGAGGAAGATGAGGAATTTGAGAAAAGTGATGAAAGCAGTAGCTGCTGCCCCTGCCTCAGAGGATGAGGACGATGACGTGGAGGAGGAAGATGAGGAAGAGGATGATGACGAGGAGGAAGACGGCTCTGAAGAAGAAGCAATGGAAACCACACCAGCCAAAGGAATAAAAGCTCCTGCAAAAGCTGCTCCTGTAAAAGCCAAGAACATGGCTGAGGAGGAAGATGACGATGAGGAGGATGAAGAGGAGGATGAGGAAGAGGAGGAAGAGCGGGTCAAAGAAGCACCTAGAAAACGAAAGAAGGAAATGAACAAACAGAAGGCAGCTCCTGAAGCCAAGAAACAGAAAGTGGAAGGCACAGAACCAACTACAGCTTTCAACCTCTTCCTTGGAAATCTGAATTCAAACAAATCTGCTCCTGAATTAAAAACTGGTATTAGTGAAGTTTTTGCTAAGAATGATTTCATTACTGTGGATGTCAGAATTGGTACAAATCGGAAGTTTGGCTACGTGGACTTTGAATTTGCTGAAGACCTGGAAAAGGCCTTGGAACTCCCTGGTTTAAAAGTCTTTGGCAGTGAAATTAAACAAGAGAAACCCAAAGGAAAAGACAGCAAGAAAGATCGAGATGCAGAACACTTTTGGCCAAAAATCTCCCCTACAAAGTCACTCAGGATGAATTAAAAGAAGTGTTTGAGGATGCCATAGAGATCAGACTAGTCAGCAAGGATAGGAAGAGTAAAGGGATTGCTTATATTGAATTTAAGACGGAAGCCGATGCAGAGAAAACCTTTGAAGAAAAGCAGGGAACAGAGATTGATGGGCAATCTGTTTCCCTCTACTACACAGGGGAGAAAGGTAAAAACCAAGACTACAGAGGTGGAAAGAACAGCACCTGGAGTGGTGAATCGAAGATGCTGTACCTAAGCAACCTCTTCTACAGCGCAACAGAAGAAACTCTCCAGGAAGTATTTGAGAAAGCAACTTTTATCAAAGTGCGCCAGAACCAAAACAGCAAATCTAAAGGGTACGCGTTCATAGAATTTGCTTCATTTGAAGATGCTAAAGAAGCTTTAAATTCCTGCAATAAAAGGGAAATTGAGGGCAGAACGATCAGACTGGAACTGCAAGGACCCAGGGGTTCACCTAACGCCAGAAGCCAGCCATCCAAAACCCTGTTTGTCAAGGGTCTGTCTGAGGAAACCACCGAAGAGACCTTAAAGGAATCATTTGACAGCTCTATTGGAGCAAGGATAGTCACTGACTGGGAAACCAGCTCCTCCGAGGGCTTTGGTTTTGTAGACTTCAACAGTGAGGAAGACGCCAAGGCCGCTAAGGAAGCCATGGAAGACGGTGAAATTGACAGAAACAAAGTTACCTTGGACTGGGCCAAGCCTAAGGGAGAAGGTGGTTTTGGGGGCTGCGGTGGCGGCAGAGGCGGCCAAGGCGGATTTGGAGGCAGAGGCCGGGGAGGCTTTGGAGGGCGAGGCGACTTCCGAGGAGGCAGGGGAGGAGGAGGAGACCACAAGCCACAAGGAAAGAAGACGAAGTTTGAATAGTCCCTCTGTCCCTGTCTGAACCTGTTCATTGGAAAGAAAGGACTCTGGGGTTTTACTCTGTTACCCGTCGATGACAGAGCCTTCGGAGGGCATTCCAAGATGGTGTGCATCCTGTGGTCGACTTGGGAAGCATAGGTGACATTTCAGGAGAGAGATGCCCGATATACCCTGTTGGTTTTGACTGGAGATTCATAAACTTTTTAAAGCGATGAGTGATAGAGCTAACCCTGATCTGTAAGTTTTGAATTTATATTGTTTCAT